ATATTAAGCTATCATTTATTATTTTGTTTGATGTGCAAATTCTCAACACTATCCTCACTTTCAAATATAGAAATTCACGGACGTTGAAAAAAAAATGTGATTGATCAAATGATTGAGAATAATATTAAAAAATCATCCAAAAAACAAAAAGAAGAAGAAAAGAAAGAAATTCACGTGCTTTAGTTGAAAAATAAACAAATATTTTGAAAGAATTCATCACAGTTGTAATAACTTATTATATTATAATTTAAGAATTATACAATTAAATATAAATATAATCAACCATCACTTAAAATAATTAATTAGATTACACTAAACAACAAAAACATAACATGATTCATTTAGGAGATTGGGTAGAGTAATGAAAACAATTCTAAAATGTCAAACCAATTAACAAGCAGTGAAATATAAAAGACAAGGATAATCAAGTCACGCAACAATACACATGAAAATATAATAATATATTTCTCCTTATTATTCATTCTCTTAGGTAAATAAACCTCTTTAAATTAGTAAGGAGCACATCTCAATACGCCACAGACTGAAGTTACTCCCATTTTCAAGTTTTTCTACGTTGAACTTAGTTGTTGACATTACTTTTGTTTTTACTGTGAAAGCCAACTAATAACTAGACAAGTTCTATTGCTGATTTATAATGAAAACAACCTTAAAATATCAAACCAATTAACGAGTTGAGAAATATAAAAAACAAACATAGTCGATTATATAAAAACACATATATAATTTATATATTTCAATAACTTGGTCCTATTTTATTAGCAAGACAACCAAGAAAACTTCCTATGAGAAAATAGTTGATTATAAGGTGTCATCAAAATTACCCTCTTATCTAAAATCCTAAAAAATAATCGAAGATTCACATTTTTTTTTTCTTAGCCACAAAGTACAGATAATAAAAGCTTTCACGAATAAGTCTTATCTTATCCTAAAATATAATAACTCTATATTTTTATATGGGTCAAATACATCAATTTTTTTCCACTTGGCCCGCAAATTAAAATAAACCCAATAAATAAAAATATTCTTACAAAATGTGGCTTTAGATGGCTAAATCTCATTAAAAAGAAAGTTATATCTTATCTCCATTAATTCCCCTCGCTTAAAATGTTAAAAATCATTATAATTACTTTTTTTGATAATCCGGAATCATACCTTTGTTTTGCAATAGAAAAAGGATAAGTACCAATCACTAGGTTTTGTATTTCGTGTATAATATATCAAACTTTAGGAGGCAACGAGACTTAGTTTTATGAGGAAATTTTAAATGCTGTACTTTGTGTACTTCAATTTGGATTGGTACTTGCATGTGATCAGTCAAAACGTGTTTCCTATAATTTATTAAATAAATGTTTATTTTTATATTTAAAAAGTATTTTTTTATTTTTTAATTATTTTTTAAAAAATAATTTTGAATTAATTTAATGTGTTGATATTAAAATTATTTTTTTAAAAATATTTTAATATATTTATAAACAAAATATACTTTAAAAAATTAACCTTAGGAGAAACTTCACTGTACTTGAAAACTCACTTGTATAACATGCCTGCAAAGTAGCTTTAACAGATAAAAAGGTGATTTGATATAAACGATATTGTGTATATATATAAAAAAAAGAAAAGAAAAAATGAAAGGAAATAAAACTCTCGTTTCCTTTCATGTTTGTATTTAAAAGACACATCCGAGATCACGCGAAACTCGTGATTTCAATCTCAAAACTTCCTTTTCCCTCCTGATAACGTATGTTACTGATTAGTCAATTTTTGAAAAAATAAAAAGAATTAATACAGTATTTGTAATTGTTTATGTGATTTTTTTTTTCTTCTTCTTTTTTCCAGTAAGGTTCCATCTGCGATGCATTTGGCATGGACAAAAGCTTTGGGTTTCCTTGCATCCGATTAGGATATTGAAAAACCTTGAAATGTACATGGAAAATTTACCAGAATGACTCGTGAGGATGCTGGTTGATTTTCATGGATGGAATCTAGAAAATGCCAGAAGTGTTGTCTGACAGATAAAAGGTGGTCCAGTAGTTAAAATCAACAAATTAAACCATAGAAGATCAGTTTACCGGTGCGCGACAACTTTCCTGTGTGGATGTGGTCTTCTCTGAGCCTTTTATCCAGCCATGAACAGGCTAGAACGAGGAGCGATTGACAGTTCAGCGTTAAAGTTTTGGCGCCGCGTGAAGAGAAAATGGCAGTGGGGTTGTTGAATCATATGAACGTGCAAGCAAACAGGACCAGAGAAAGAAGATTGGCATGATGCACAGTTTCACTTTCACAGAATCGAAAAAAAGAAGAAGAAAAAAGCGCTTGTTTTTTCTTGAAGAATTATTGGGCATATTTGAAGTCGTGGCTGTTGACGACTGGCCCTTGATCCTGAAGACTTCATTCATTGCATTTTTCATATTATTGATTCTATATTTATGTAAAGGAGAAAAAATACAACCGACTTTGAAACGGAATGTATTAGCACGAGGTTAGCATGTGCAGAATTTAATTATGTTTCCAATCATTTTGATGGAAGAATCAAGGTGAGGAAAGGTGCGTGGATGGTAGATCTAGTTGACAAAAGCAGTGGTTGAATGATTCAGGCGAGAAACAAGATGTGTTTGGGGATTTATATATATATGAGCACACGAGATTAGACTAATATCCGATAAAATTTAGATTTTAAAACGATTACATTACTAAATTATCCTTAATTTTCATGCTGGTTTTTATATTATTGGCATATTGGTGAATTGATATTTTATATTAATTAAAAATCATAAAGTTTTAAAATACATCAGGTATGTGAAAGGGTTTTATTATGGTTTGATGATGAATATAATGTCCTATAATAATGAAAAATTATTTTTTATTATGTTATTAGATTTTTCTTAGTGTTTTTTTTATCTGTTTTATAAATTATTTTTAATTTTATCATTTAACTATAATAATGAAAAATTATTTTTTATTATATTATTAGATTTTTCTCGGTGTTTTTTATTTATCTGTTCTATAAATTTATTTGTAATTTTATCATTTAGTCAGAATATTTGGTTTATTTTATTTTTAAATTTAGCTCTTATTTTTAAGTGGTTTTTTCTTTTAATTTTTTATAAAATTAAAATTTCTTTTCATTTTATCCCTTCAATCTAAAATCATTCACCCTTTTATTTTTTTTTCAAATTTTACTATCGTTATTTTATTTTTAAATTTTTTATGTGATTGAATGTTTTTTCTCTTTAATTTCATACATTATATTTTTTAAGGTTGGGATTCATGATTTTTTCAAGTTCGATGCTTATGATTAAATGACATACGTTATGAGTTTTATAAGCTAGCACAACTTTTTATTTTTTTCAGACTTATTTTTTTTCGACCTCATTAGTCTATGTTGATATTTTAAAAATATAGGTTTCTTAATTTTATTTATTTATTTTTTATAGAGTTGTTTCGATCTTATGGCATAATTCATGGATTGGGCAGGTTAACACATGTAGGCTTTTTCCTCTTTTTTTTTCCTTTCCCTTTTAGTTACTTTATTTTATTTGTGATCCTTTTGTGTTTTTATTTTAATTTACATTTTAATATTTAATTTGTTAAAAATTTACATTTATCAATTTTTTTTATATCCGACTCTTCCAATTAAATAGCTAAGAACATGGGTTTTACAAGCTATTAAAGGTTGGCATCAATTTTTTTATATAGGTTTTTTCATCTTCTAATTTGATAATGGTTTTTTAATTGGATTTTATGATTTTTATGATTTTTTTATTAGGTTATTCTATCTTGTAACCTGAGATATAGGTCTGGTAGGTTAACTTAAGTAAGCTCATTTTTTTTTTGGTTTATAATTACTAGTTTTTATTCTTTTTATATATTAGGTTTTATTTTTTAAATTTTATTATTTAATATTTAGTTTATTAAAGTACGAGCTTCAATTTGTTTGTTAGATTTGTTGTTTTTTATCAAATGACTCAGGTTATGGACTTAATGAGTCAATATGGACTGAAATTGTTTTTTATTTTTTTTAAAATAATTTTGATATTAGCATATAAAAATTATTAAAATAAAATAAAAAAATTTAAAATAAAAAAAAATAAATTTTAATAAACATCCGTTTACACCACAATCTTAAACAAATATTTAAAGTAAGTTAGAAAAACATATGAGTTTATTTTTTTTATTTTTTTAAGTATATCTATCTTTTAAAAAATAATTAAATTGATTTGTTTTCTAATTTTTCTAACAATTTAAATATTTTTTTTGAGCAAGAATTATTAATCTAAATGAATTAATTTATAATTTACTCCATCATGACAGCAATTAAATCAAGATTTTCAACAGAAATAAAACGGCAAATAAAAGACGTCTTGATCACTGACATCTCCTGCACTCCACATAATAGTTTGACTTTAAAGTAAACCCACTAGCTTAGTGAGGGTCACATGACACGCAAAGCACCTACCACCTACAAAAAACAAAATATTAAAAAAACTCATCCAATATTCAATAAACAACACAGCAATGGACTGTCACCGCACACCTTAGCAGTGTCCAGAAATATAGTAATCGCAGACTTTAGAATTACATTATTTCTTAAAGTATTTATTTTAAAAAAAATATTAAAATATTTTTTAATTTTTAATTTTTCTTAAATATGTAAGTTTACTCTTAAATATTTTTTAAAAATATATTTATCCTAAAAATATTAAATTAATTTATTTTTTAGTTTTTTTAATAATTTTAATATATTAATATAAAAAAATATCTTAATCTTTCTAACTAAAAAACACTAAAAAAAACATCATGCACCGCCCCCTTCAACATTTCCTTTTTTTAGTATTATTATATAGGAGTACCTTATATAATGGAGTAAATGGGCCCATAGCTTTGGTTGGGCCTTTTAATTTGAAAACGATAAAGAATGGAGATTGTCGGTGGATTGATTCGTGGACTTTATTGACAGAATGCTAAGTATAAAGAAAACTAAGTCAGGTTATTATTATTCTTGTTCTTTTGCTTCAAGCACCACCAAATCTCCCATTCTCTCCTCTCCTCTTTCAAAGCTTATCTCTAGAAAGCATCAGATTTCCTTTTTCAGACAGAGAAGAGAGAAACAATACAAGCTGTACTCATCATCATCATAAAAAAAAAAAATGAACGGCAGTGATGCGTACAGTGCAACAGAGGCTCAATACGTACGGAGACACCATAAACATGAGCCTAGAGAGAACCAGTGCACTTCTGCTCTTGTTAAGCACATCAGAGCTCCTGCTCACCTTGTAAGTTTTTCTTTTTACCCTCTTTTTTTTTTAATCTTTTCATTGATTTTATATCCGTTGATTTGTTTAAAGGTGTTTTGACTGTGTTCTTCCATGTCAAATCTGTGAAATTTTGCTTGATTTCGGCTGATTTTGCCCTTCTTTTTAAGGGGATTCTCTCTGTCAGTATTTGTTTTTCTCTTTCATTTGTAATAAGCCAAATATAAAAGATAAATTCTGCACGCATAAGCGAATTCTTATCAAGAGAAATTCTGATTTGATTTTGTACATAATTGGATCAGGTATGGTCACTGGTGAGGCGATTTGATCAGCCGCAGAGGTACAAGCCATTTGTGAGCAGGTGTGTTATGAACGGAGAGCTTGGGATTGGAAGTGTTAGAGAGGTGAATGTTAAATCTGGACTTCCTGCAACTACTAGTACTGAGAGGCTTGAGCTTCTTGATGACGAGGAGCACATTCTTGGAGTCCAGATTGTTGGTGGTGATCACAGGCTCAAGGTATAAATAAATAAATTTCTTTTCTTGTTAGCCTTGTACTATAAGCTGTTGTTGTTTCTTGTTATGTTATAGATTTAAATACCTTCAACTGTGTTTCTGTGCTTATATTAAATTGACATGTGGGATCGCTATGTTATGGCATGTTAAATATTGTGGCCTGGATGGATGGAAATGTGTGATAAGCTACTGAAAAGTGGATGAGTCTCGATGTAATCACTTCTTCATCTCTGTATGTATTGATGTGTTTTTTTCGTATGTGATGAAGAGTTCTGCTGTTTTGACAAAGATTGGAATTATATTTCGAGTATTGGTCATGGACCATAACACCTAGTTCTAGGAAATGCCAATTGCACGAGATATTTTCTTCTGTTCGTGTGCTATGTTTGTTGCCATTGTATTGTGTCTCTTTTTTCTCCATATCTGCTCTTTCATTCACATGTTACTTGTGTGGCCAAAGGAACCTCTTCTGATGGGTTGGGTATGTTCTAGTTTTTTCTCCATTGATTTGCTTTGTAGGTAACTTTGTTTTAGAGCCGTGATATCACAGGTCTCTTAGAGCTGCTGTGCATCACAGAAGCACGTGGGAGCTAAAGTTTCTCCTCCTTTTGATCCCTTTACTTTAGTGTCCAAATTATTTGTGAATTTGTCTCACTCAATATGTTTGAAGGATGAGAAAATGGAACCTTTTTGGTTGAATGATGCTGAAAACTAAATAGAGAATATTTCTGGGGATTGTGGCTTTTCAAAATCAGAGGAAATATATTTTGTTACAAATAGACAACCCGCTTTTCATTTGTGATATGGAATGAACCGTTACTTAACTTTGATATATATTCGCTGACTAAGAGCATGCATGCCCACATGATGAAAAGACATTTGGAATCTGCCACTAACTATAATCTTTTGTAGTTGGATGCTTGGTTGAATATTCAGTCTCTGGGCTAAAAAAAATGATGCCTTTCGCTAAAAGCATTCCGGATTCTTCCTCCATCTGATCCCCACCCCTTGGTTTATTTTGCAGAACTACTCATCAATTATGACTGTCCACCCGGAGTTTATTGATGGGAGGCCTGGCACTTTAGTCATAGAATCATTCGTTGTAGATGTGCCTGATGGGAATACCAAGGATGAGACATGTTACTTTGTCAAGGCCCTTATAAGGTGCAATCTCAAATCTCTGGCTGATGTCTCTGAGAGGATGGCTGTGCAGGACCGGGTTGAACCTGTCAATCAATTCTGAGTAGTAAGGTCCTGGAGGTTCGATGGGAGATTGATAAGTAAAAGTTATGTCGTTTGACTGATCTAGTTTCCCGAAGCTTTGTAGAGTTTGGTTGGAGTACTTCCTCCTCGCAGAAGTTTTGAATGCAATGGTTCTGCCGTTCTCTTTGCATTATTCCTTAACATTGAAATGGGGCTTTCCCCTGTTTAGTGTTTAGGTTTATAGTCAAGTTTCCTTAAACATCCGATGAGTGGGAAAGGATCAGTTGTTCTTCAATGTTGTTTTTACTTTATGGATGGTGGTATGTAAATTGCTGCTGGTCATATCTGTAAATACACCTGTAAGACACAGTTGGCTCCTTTTGGATAGGGTTTTATGTTGTAGTTGCCGCTCGCAGTGTAGGATGTTATGATAGGGAAGAACTTGAAGTAGCAGTTAGCAGCTGTTGTTTCTTCTTTTTGCAGCATGCTTTCTTGTTTTGCTTACAGCGCAATATTGACACTACTCTCTCCCTCACATCCAGCCAGAACAATCCTTGCCGCTATTTTATGTGGAGCTTATTGTGACAGCAACTTTTGAGTGCAAGAAAGTGCTGATTTTCCTTTTTTTTTCGTGATTTATAGACTAGGATAGCTCAAGTCCGATAAGCTCAGACCGCACAAAAAGAAAGGGCTAACTGGATAGAAACCAAGGCATCTCACTTATGGAAGCAACTAGCAGTCTCAGGAAGACCTCTGACACGAATTTTGGCCTCATATGCCGTATTTTTGAAGACTTTCCATTTGAATCTTTTCAAGTGTCGTCAGGGTGGGATTGGTTAACCAAGAAGATAAAGGGCATTTCAGGTCCATCCATATATCTAAGCAAAGACAATCAATGCCCAGCTTAAGTTTTTTGAGAGGACTAAACCAACCTGCATCCTAAACTCTCCCTCGTTAAGGTTTTTATTAGGCACTTAATTTTGCTAGGCATCACAGCACTCCGTGCAACAAGTAGAAGCTAGCATTGTAATTCATTATGTAGTAAGATTTTGTAAATAACAGTTCTATATATAGAAAAAAGACCCTTACAAAAACTCAACAGTTCATATTACAAAATTTACATTTGCTTGCTCCTCCGGTCGGATTCTCTATTGGTTCTACATTCACCCGAGCTTGATGCTGTTGAAGCTAGACCCGAGTATTCCTGGACCGCTATACGTCAAACATTTGTTTCGATGTATCCCATTATTTGAGAAGGCTGTACACAGAGTAATGGGGTAGACTCTTGAACAATTAATGACCAATATTGTTACCAGTAGTCGTTGCAAGAACACTTCCCTGCCTTAAAATGGTGAAACCGAACACCATCCCTGAGGAAAATCTCTCTACTGCGAACAAGGGAAATGAGTTTTGCTGCTGTGTGACAATCAGAACAAATTCTTGTGTTCTTGATCACTCTGATTGGTGCGCTACTTGTTGTTTTGATTAGTCCATAAGTAATTGCAAGTTTCTCAGTGTGACTTAGGAGCATCTTCACCTTTTCTTCCTCGTCAATCTTCTGGTATACGCAGTTCACATCCGGCAAATATCCAAATTTCTTCAGTTCAGAGACCAACTGATACAACTCATAGTATATCTCTCCTTCATCTTGATGGGGTATTCCTCCAGCAGAGAACAGATGAGCTCTTTGATCAATTTGAATCCAGCTCCATACTTGCCTGGGCTTAATACCCCTGGTATCCATGAGATCTTTAATACGGTCAACATCCTCCCATCTTTTTGACATGGCATATAAGCTCAACATCAGAACGTAATTAGCAGAATTATATGGTTCTAACTTGAAAAGTTCCTTCGCTGCAATCTCTGCAAACTCAATGTTTCCGTGGATTCGGCAAGATCCAAGCATGGCACCCCAAACACTAGCATCTGGCTTTATTGGCATTGTTTGAATGAAGTCCCAAGCTTCATCAAGGTAGCCAGCTCTTCCAAGAAGATCTGCCATGCAAGAATAATGCTCAATGGTTGGTTTTATACCATAGTCGTTGCTCATCATATCAAAGCATTTCCATCCCTCTTCAACTAAACCAGAGTTCTTGCAACCAGAGAGGAGGGCTGTGAAGGTTATAGCATCTGGCAAGATACCAGCTCTTTGCATTCCATCAAGGAGTGCAATCACCTCTCTTCCACAGCCATTAATGGCAAATCCCATAATCATGCAATTCCAAGATGCTAACGTCTTCTCTGCACTCCTGAAAACTTTATGAGCACTTTCTAAATCGCCTGACTTACTGTACGTGTCAATGAGTGCTGTAGCTACATATAAATCTTCAATGAAGCCTTTTCTAATAATTAGGCAGTGAATTTCTTTACCCTTCTGTAACAAGGATAGACCCCCACAAGTCCTAAGTAAGCTGGATATAGTGGCAGAGTTTGGCTTAATACCTTCTTCTTGCATTTGGACAAAAGCCTCAATAGATTCCGAGTAGTTACCATTCTGTGAACAGCCTGATATGAGAGCAGTCCATGAAACCACATTTGGTGTCAATCCCGAAATTTTGATATCATGAATCAAAGCTAAAGCTTCCTTAGTGTGGCCACGCATTGAATACCCGGCAACCAGGCTGTTCCATGTAATTAGATCTGGTTTAATTCCTTCCTCTTTCATGCGATTCAACAATCTTTTTGCATTGTCAAAATGTCCCTTGAACGAATACCCTGATATTAATGAATTCCAAGCAACAATATTCTTGTTTTTCATATTATCAAAAATCGCTTGAGCACTGGTGAGGCAGTCGTTCTTCACATACATGTCTAACAATGAAGTTCCCACGTATGCATCATAGTCAAGCCCATTTCTTATCACATAAGCATGTATTTCTTTCCCGAAATTCAGGAGCCCCGGTTCAATGACAGCTTGAAGAACGCTAGTGATGGAGCGAGGATTTGGCCTAAAACCCGCAGCTTGCATCCTTCGCAAAATTATGAGGACTTCTTTATATGAACTAACAATAGCATTGCCTGACAATATGCTATTCCAGGTTATTATGTCTGGTTTTGTGCCTGACCTTTCCATTTTACAGAAAAGATTCCAAGCATCGTTCAAGTAACCAAGTGTAGTATAACTTGAGATAATTGAATTCCATGAGGACAAACTATGATCTTTCATTGAATCAAAAACCCTGCTAGCTAGTTTGATTTTGCCATTCCTAGAGTACATGATAATCAAAGAATTGCATATCGACAAATTTGATTCCATAGCAAGCTTTAACACATACCCGTGAATCTGCCTCCCTTCATTGAGGGCCCCCTTCTTGCTACAAGCTTGCAGAATCTTCAAAACTGTAGTAGCATTAACTTTACTAGTCAAGAACTGCATCTCTCTAAACAATTCTAGAGCCTTAACAAATCTCTCATTCTTCAAGTTGACCAAGATTGCCTCGTTCCACAAGAGATCATCTAAATTGGGGGGTTCATGAAACACTTGATTAGCACTTTCCACACACCAGCACCTCCCATAAAAATTCATTAGTGCACACTTCACATACACATCTAATTCAAAACCCCTCTTGATCAAACTAGCATGTACTTCCAAACCAAGCCATAAATTCATCACACTAGCGCAAATCTTCAAAACCACACTAATCACTCTACTATCAAACACCACTCCTTCACAATGCAATTCTTTAAAGACCTCGAGAACTTCACTTGGATCACCACCAAAGCTCTTGAACTCCTCCAAGAAATTATTCCACATAACATAGTTCCGCGCCAAACCCACAAAAAAAACCACTGCCGCTGACTTGCAATCGCCAAGTTCTAAATAAAAAGTGATCAAATGCTTCGCCATAGAATCTGAATTCCATTTGTTACCCTTTTTTATCATCTGGGCATGCATTGCTTTAACAGAGTCCAAAGTCTTGCTATCAGCAGTGAAGCCATTTAAAGAGCCAAGATTCGGTACATGTGTAGGCCTAAGTGTAGTTTCAAGGGACGAGGTTGTTGTGAGAGCAACAGAAAGAGATGGTGGTGAATGGGTTCTAATTGGTTTTGGCTTGTGGTTTTGCAGTAGAGGCGGGCTATGGTGAAATGGAGCCAGTTTGTCCATGGTGAATGGAGTCGGTGTGTGGAGAACTGGCATTCGACGTGTCTCCTTTTTATTTTTTGCACAATACAATAAAATGTTTGGATCCTAGATTTCTTGGATAAGGTCTATCTTCTTGCAAATCGGGTCCCGTGGAGCAGTCAAAACGCACCGGTTTAACCCCCTTTGTTTTTCAGTGCGCGACAGGCGCGCCCTTTCCAATGGTTTTCTTACCTTCCCTTGCATCAGGACTTCAGGGCAAATTTAAAGGATTATATGGGTTCAAAATTGTTGCACTCTTGTAACCAATTTAATATCTAATTTGAATTTAGTTGAAAATTTATTATAATTTTTATATTTTAAATACAATATAAATTGACATAATTAAATTTAATTATATTATCAAAAATATACATGAAAATAAATAATTAACAATCTTAACTATTTCATTCTTAAAATATTTTTTATTAAAAAAATCTTGGTTATAAAAACCCTTATATTTACTATTTTTAACTATTATCCTCTTAATATTTTTATCAATTTTATGCTAATTTTCTAGTATAGTTCTAGCATCCGTTTTAGTTAATTTCAGCGGCCAAGATTGGGACATCCCTTTTAAAGAAGGGAAGCTGTTTCCTTTCATTATGGAGAAAAGAAAAGGCCTTCTTCAACTCCAGATCCCGCAATTAGTGTTAATTTTAATCATCATTCACAAGTCATCTAGTATATTAGTGGGATCAAATATGCTTGGAAAAAAAGAATTGGCAATTACAATCTGCCTCTCAAGCAATCAGATATATTTTTTTCATCTCTACCCAAAGAAGATTGGGTTAAATTAAACATTGATGGTGCTAACAAGGGCAACTCAGGACTTATCGGAGCGGGTGGTGGATTTAAGATTGCATGGGGCGTTTTACGGTGGCTTCACAATAAGAGTGGGTGTTGCAGTGCCATCCAAGCTAAGTTGTGGGTATTCAATATAGGGCTAGAAACCATTTAGGTGGTGACCAAGTGGTAAAGATTTGGGACTAAGAGGTTTGCTCTCTTTGTGGTCTCAGGTTCAAGTCCTTGGTTGCTCATATAATGGCCACTGGAGGCTTATATGGTCGTTAACTTCAGGGCTCGTGGGATTAGTCGTGGTGCGCGCAAGCTGGCCCGGACACCCATGTTAATCTAAAAAAAAAATATAGGGCTAGAGATAGCTCGGAATAGGTCGGGTTGTATTAAACATTGATAGTGTTACAAAAGATGGCGAGACGATGGGGGGTTGGAAAAAAGAAAAAAAAAAAGATGGTGGAGGTTTTTTCTTTTTAATAAATAAAGTTTGTTGTGTTGCTCATAGTACTTTTGAGATATTGTTTTTAATTTTAATTTCAAATGGAATTATAATAGCAAATAAGTTTATTATTATTATTTTTAGCAATCAAGTTTTATTTAGAATTCAAATCAAAATCCCTTAAAAGAACTTAGTTACTTGATGAGGTGTGTTTATATCCCCATCATGGCAGTTCCACCATAAAATATTATTTTACATGACTTTCAATAAATTTTACTACTTAAAAGACACTTTAAAATAAAAAAAATATTTTTGATGTTATATAAGTTATATAGTATTAAGAACACCTTTTTTATTTATATAGCATCAAAGACATCTCTCTTATTAAAAAGTATTTTTTAAAAGACAAAACTCATTAGAAGTCACGTGGAACAATACCTCATGGTGAGTTTATCATGTTATGAATATAGACACATCTCATCAGTTAGCATCGTCTAGGAAAATGATTCATGTGCTTTATCTAAGCTCCTTATCTAGGAGTTCTAATAAAGTCATTATCTCACATCAATTAAGAAACAAAAGTTTTAATTACTTATATGATACTAAAGATATCTTTTTTTATTTTAAAACATCTTTTAAAGAATAAAATCTACTGAAACCATATGAGACAATATCTTATAATAATTTTAAATATAACTTATGATTATTGAGATAAAATAATTTTTTTAAAACAATGATTGTTGTTCAAAAAAGCATTAATTAATTTTTTAAATCTAAAATTATCATCTTGATAAATTATTATTGTTATTTCCTTTCATTGTAGGTATACCGGGAAAATGGTATCGCCAAAAAAAAGGAGAGAAACCCACATGGTAATTAATGTGGCCTCTAAAGTTCAATTTAGACTTGCATTTCCGGGCTAGTTGTAAGTTTAACATGTAGTCTAAGCTCCCAATTTCCCAAGTGTCAAAATCTGAAGGAACTCGAATAACCTACTTGGTCTTCTTAATTAACATCAGGGTTTTCCAAAAACCCTGTTCTCTGCAATGAAACAGATGTGTCCCCAGGTTACCCAGGAATTTTCCTTCGGTCCCATGATAGTAAGTTTCGACCATAGAGCGATGTACTCTTCTCTTGTCCCTGCCTTAAACTTGAGGTCGCTAACTCACTTGTTCAGGAGCACAGAGAAAATCATGCCTGGTAATCAAGCAGGCAGCTTTGATACATAGGAAAAGGCAAATTTATTTAGAATGCAGTCTGATGTCTTTTAACATTCAAATTAGTTCTTGATTAATCTCTAAATCAAAGGGAAAACCCCCATTGGATTTACTTCAAAGAACTCAATCAGCGCATGGTTTCTGATTTTTGTATTACTTCCATTTGCAGGAACCACTACTAAATTTCCTTTTTTGTGCCGAATCCACAAGCATTGAGATGGATTAAACAAGAACCCATTTTAATCTGACTTTGTACACAATAATTTCAGTTTAAAACTATCAATTGCAAATAATGCATGTAGTACAGAAATTAGACCGAACAAGCACATTGTTCGCAATAAGCAGATGCCAGGGAGTCAATTAAGAATTCGAAGTAAATTCAAATAAACACTAGATTTCTAAATAACTTACATTCCAGTTACCTAAAAACAAAAACCCCTGGGCAGATAAACCTAAAAAAACTGGAGAGAGACAGAGAGTAGATAAAAAAGTTGGAAGGAGAGAAACATGGACCAGAGCTACAAAGATAACGCCACCAAAAGAACCCTGAAATATATACTAGGCCCTCTCTCCTCTAATCCTCCTAGCAAGCTGAATATCCTTTGGCATAATGGTGACTCTCTTAGCATGAATAGCACACAGATTGGTATCCTCAAACAATCCCACAAGGTACGCCTCTGCTGCTTCTTGAAGAGCAGCCACTGCGCTGCTTTGGAACCTCAAATCTGTCTTGAAATCTTGTGCTATTTCTCTCACCAGCCTTTGAAACGGCAATTTCCTTATCAGCAACTCTGTGCTCTTCTGGTACTTTCTGATTTCCCTCAGTGCCACCGTTCCTGGCCGAAATCGGTGGGGCTTCTTCACTCCTCCGGTTGCCGGTGCAGATTTCCGGGCTGCCTTTGTGGCCAGTTGCTTACGTGGCGCCTTGCCTCCTGTGGACTTCCTTGCTGTTTGCTTCGTGCGTGCCATTGAAACGACTGAATTTGGGGAAATGGGTTTACGGGGATTTTGTTATTGTTTCTCGCGAAAAATGAAAGGAGATACTTTGGGTTGAGAAGCGAGGGCTCAGGGGAGGTATTTATCATGTAAAAGAGAGGAAAGTAGAAAAGTTTTTGGGTAGGATGGGTGAATTGTGAACGTAGATTTGATGTATTATCAATGGCTGTCATTTCTTAGAGAAGGTGTGGTGCGGATCACGATCCGCGTGCATCGTCAACTAACCAAATATAATTTCATAATTTGTTGTTTAAGCGGGAATTTGAAAATTTTTGGACTGTGATACGTCGACCCGCAGGGAATCCACAAAAGCACGTGTTCAGCAGGCCGGAAATTAACAATTTTTTAAATAAATAAAAAACTAAAAGAGATATATGAAATGTTGTTAAAAATACTTTTTAAACATTACATAAAAAATACAATATAAATTTTAATGGTAGAATGGTAAGTAATTTTTTTAATTAATTATATATTTATAATTATAGTCAATAAATTAAATTATAATAAAATCTTTATAATTAATAGTGTGAATTAATAAATTAATGACATGAAAAATTAAAAAATCTCAAAATAAAATTTTTTAATATAAAAAAATCACTAAAAGGTAGGAAGCACGTGTAAATCTAGTAACAATCTATTGTTTCTATCACAGTAAATCTTGATAACCCCCTTTAAATTATAAGCTAATGAGTTTAAATTAGTAATTAATTAACATAAACTAAATAATCAAATAAACTTATAAATAATATATAATTCACTAAAAAAATTAAATTAAAAATAATTATTTAAAAATAAATAAATAAATAACATAAAATAAAATAAAAAGTTTTTATGTTAAAATTCATCAATGTAGCTTAAATCTCTAATTATTGTGTATTTTTAGGAGATTCGAGCTATGATTGTAAATATGTCGATCTCTCTCGTTTAGATAAATTATTAGACCTGCTATATATAATTAGAAAGTTTCAGATGTCTAACTTCTATTTTGATTTTAATTGAAGTAAAATTTCACTAATAGCTTTATATATGTCCATAAAAATATTATTTGATGTATCTAACAATATTATTTACTAAATTTTATCATCTAAAATATTGTGTTCCCTAACTTTACTTAACTTGAAAATTTAATATAATATATTTTCATGTGTCTAATATTTTCCTATAAAATTTCAGATTTATCTAGTAAATAATTTGAAAGATATGTTTAATTTCACAAAACTAATTAACAAATATTTTAAGATCAAATCTGGATTTGATTTAGTTCATATCATAATTTTAGTAAACTTGTAAAATATCAAACTGAGTTTATCGATTATGCACGAATTAAGTCTGACTTTACTGGTTTTAAATTTTTAATTTAATTTAACATGTTAGATGCATATTATCTTAAATTTTAACAAACTAAAATACATAATAATACACCAAAACTGGAATACTGGTGATTTGATGAGAGTCCACATGGGCAGAAACTGTCTTTTATTGAATTCTCAAAGTTTAAGTTACAGTAGGGATGCAATTGAAATAAATTAAAAGAACGAACAAGTTTTCAAAGAACCAAGTGAAACAATACGAGGCTAGGTTTCTGAATACATTCGTAGTAGCCTGAGTCTCTTGGGTGATGGGATCTGCTTCAAAGCATTTTCCTGCCTCTTGTCTCCATTTTTATCCTCTCTTTACTGAACAAGCTAGGTTAGAGAATTTGACTTTAAATGAAAGATTTGTCAGGGTAATAAGACCACAAAACTCTTATAAAAGAGCTGTGTTGTTCTTGTTTGAGCACTAAAACAATTGCACTATTTCTATAAAAAAAAAGGTCAAAAGTATTAGAATTATTTATTTCAAGACTATAATTGTAATTTTACCATGTAATTAAAAAAAAAAAAAGAATATAACTCATCAAATATGTTAAAGATAACTGTATCAGGATCACAATCAATCTCACCCTAACGCTTAGTTTATAGTTTTTTTTTTTTTCAGTAGCAAATCAGTAAATACACTATTATTTTGAATAGAAAAATGAGCCCCGAGGTTTTTTTTTTTTTAATAGAGAGAGAGAGAACCCGATTGCACGAGGGGCACCTTTGACGAGCAGTCATTCCATGGAGAAACTGCTGCTCTCTGCCATTCCCATTGATTTTCTCTCTGGTTTACAGAGTTTTAGGTAAGAAACTCCAATGAAAGCTCAGTTAAAAATTCCAATGACAGAAAAACTAATAAGAAAGAAGAAGGAAAACATCTCGTATTTGACAGTCGTATATCGTCGACTTTACTGAATAAAAGCTGCAGGAACATTTTAGTGGGCTAGAGCCAGAGAAAGCAAAAGCGCATTTTGTAAGATCACATGTCCAATTCCCCCTCTTCTTTCTTATTTGAACAACAAAAGTATGATTTAAATGGAAGTCTGTAAGCTTGAACCAGCAAACAGCAGTGATCAGATCAGCCTAAAAAAACTTGAAGGTGAATTTACATGGAGGAATTTTTGCAAAAAACCGCATGACTTAGAAATCACTCCCAGGCCAGGTCATTCAGAATTTCTTTCTGCAAAAAAAAACTTCACGGAACAAATTAAAAATTAAACTGCAAGAAATAACCATACATGATTTCTAGAATTTAGCATAAACCCTCAATAATCGTCTGACGATGATCAAACAGAAGTCAAACTCCATGATTGAATACATAATAACATTTCTTGCACGTTTATTTCATATCATGAGAAGCACAGATAATAAAAATTCTACCCATCCCATGCAAGGATTGTTACCAGGAAAGAAATTGTAGTTGATATTCCTCGTCTGCCAAAATCATGACAACTTTTGATCACTCTCCCCCAAAGGCCTCAAGCCTGCAGCCGTAACACAGTTACATGTACGTAGCTGGTTATTGCGTTGGAAGCCTTGAGGGAGAGTGAACAATGATTGCCACCCTGAGACCATGCACAGAGAGCCTTGAGCAACACATGGCCTGTTTATACCCCCCACAAGAGCCTCTAGCCTGCCTCCTACTTGGTGGTCTAAGTTTCGTCGTAGAAAACAAAATCATCATTACCAATCGGGCCGGCAAAGGAAGCCTGGAGGGGGAGCGAACAGCCAGTACTGCCTTGAAGATCCATGCATAGAGAGAACCTATACTTTCTAGCTCTCCCGATTCAATCAAGGAGCAGCAGACCAGCTTTATATAGACTAGGAAAGCCTTACTTGATAAGCTCTCCTTCCAAAACCCACTAAATTATTCTCCGTTTTAATTTACATTTCCTATATATATATATATATATTGTTAGATGTTTGGATTGAGACTTCTTTGTTAGAATCCTATTATTATTGGTGACGATCGGAACCACGAAAAAGACTTTGCTACCAAGAATTCATTTATAAAAATCTTACTAAACCATTAATAGATTTGTGCGTTTTAAAACTTGAAAATCTTGTATTTAATTTGAGTTTTAAAATGATTTTTTTTTTTGGAATGTTGTTTGCTAGGTTAAAAGAATCGTTTGGTGGTTAAAATCTTGAATTTTCAGTGATAAATAGTGACAAGGGGATCTTGTTTTTAATACCAAATAATTCGTGCACTCAAATAAAATAAAATAAAAAACTACAAGAATATAAATCAAAACAAAAAAAAATTCAGGAATTTTCTGTACCTTTCAGCCCTTATCAGAAGCTGAGCCTGTGACCTTCTCACGCGTCAGAACAAATTTGTGTGTGAGAGAAAAATTCGTGGCGACTCTCCCATGTGACACGTGACATTAGTGGCCCCCAAGAACAAACAATAAAGCAGCTTTATTGGTGTTTAAAATAATTTTTTATTTTAAAATATATTAAAATAATTTTTATTTTTGTTATTAATATATTATAGCAATGAAAGTATAAAACACTAAAAAATATTAATTTTTAAAATCAAAAATATTTTTTAAAAATATCAAAAATAGATTTAAAATAAAAATAAATACAGTGTGAAATATCTTTATAAAAATAATATATCAAAGCTGGGATATGAAATAATTTCTATCATGATTTAATATATTATGGCTCTGTTTATTTGGAGGAAAATTATTTTTTTTTTGGAAAGTGAATTTCAGGAAAAATAAATTTCAAAAAAGTAAATTATTTTCTGATATTTGGTAGTGTTATAGAAAATGAAGCGGAAAACAATTTTCAATGTTTGATTATATTATGTAAAATAAACTAAAAAATAATTTATTAATATTTTATTTTTTTTCAAGTTTATTAAAATAATGAAGAACAAATCTCAAAAATTAAAAAGTTGAATGAGAATGAAATTGAAAAAAAATATAATTTCATAAATTATCTCAAATAAAATAAATAATAATCAAAATAATATAGATCAAATCTAAAAAAAAATAAAGGATGAAGAAATTTAAATAATAATAATTAAAATTTTATAAATTATTTCAAATAAAATAAGTAACAGTAAAAAAAATAAGGACCGGATTTGATAGATAAAAAAATTCAATAAAAAATAATAGGGAAAAAACAAATAACAATTATAAAAATAAGGACCAAAGTTAATATAAAAATTAAATTTTAAGAAATGAAATTAAAAAATAAATATTCAAAACAAAATATATATAGCAATAAAAAGTTTGAGGACCAAATTTGATATAATCAATAAATAATATAATATTTTTAAATTTTTTATAATTTTCAGAAAGTGTTTTCCGCCTAAATGTTTTAGGAAAACACTTTTCTAGAAACCAAGCTAAATTTTTCTTTAACTGGAAAGTGTTTTTCATTGATCTATTTTTTTAATGGTAAACAAATACAAAAAAATTTAATAAGTGATTTCTCAAAAAATAAATTCCAAAAAACAAACGTAGCTTATATTTAATTTGTTTTATTAATATATTGGAGAGTATGGTAATAGTTTTTTTTGAAAATATTTTTTGCTAATAAATACATTACAATAATATATATTTTATTTTTTAAAATTTATTTTTATATCAATATATTAAAATAATTTAAAAATATTAATTTAAATAAAAATAAAAATTAAATTTAAAAAAAAACATGCAAAAACAAAGTCTATCTTTGTTCTCCAGTAGTAATGCCCTCGACTATACCAATTCGGGAGAAGCTGTTTAGTGTAAACTTTCCAAAGAACATGAAAAATTCCCCTCCTTCTAGAGTTAGAAGTTTGTGATTTTTAATTAAAAATATATTAAAATAATATTTTTATTTTATTTTTAACGTTACCGTATTAAAATTATAAAAAAAATATAATAAAAAAAATTAAAAAATAAAAGCTAACGAGATAACAAATAGTTAACAAAGCTGAATGATACTATAATTATTTTTTGCAAATGCTACATTAGCATATTTGTTTGTTTTGGTATTTTAAAAATAATTTTGAAAAAATTTAAAATTTATTTATTTATTTTAAATTAATATATTTCTAGTATTTTTAAATTATTTTCATATGTTTATATTAAAAATAATTTTTTTAAAATAAAAAATATTATTAAAATATATTTTAATATAAAAAATCATTTAAAAAATAACTATAATCACACAACCAAATAAACTAGCATCTAACCTTACAACTTCAAAGTAACCAGAAAGATGAGAAAAGAAAAGGATAGAAGTGGGTGATTTGGGAATAAAGACTGTTTATGCTTAAGCTTATTAAATGCGGCCACTAACCCCATTTTCTATCTTCTATCGCCGTTATAACCTTTACCTATGTGGCCATAGGAACCTATTCTAGCCATGTTGTAGAACAAAGTGATGTGCTTTCGACAAAGCATGATAGTGATGCTCAGAATATAATTGATAAAATGATGCTGAAGATTCTTTTTAGTTGATTTATCACATTGATTTAGCTACACACATATATCATATTGGAATTCTCGATTTTTATAAAACGCAAGGTCACTGATAAACAAAAGCACAAAAGCGACGTGAAGAGTTCTGCATATGAAAATGACGCAGAATTTGAGATGTCTACGAGAGCGTATGAATCCAGACATTCTACTGTTCACATATGGCATACCCCAGCCTGGATAATTTCAGCTCATCTTTACACAAGGTTAAGCTTGAAAGTTGAAAATCTACGTCAAAAAGGCAGTTAAATGGATGGAATTATTGCGATTCAACTAGGAAAAAAATAGTTTGGTAGCTTTCACTGTGAACACTTGTAGCATCCACTGCTTATCTGCTGCCCTTGCTCTAAAACAGGGAGTCCGGGCCTCCAGCGATGCCCAAGCACTGGCAAACGAGTTTGATGATGGTTCTGCATAGAGTGGATGAACAGAGTTTGAAATCAAGATTATCCACGATGAATCAATAAATTAGTTTGTGAATCTGAATTGAAGGCATCGTCAAGCCCTAGAATCAATATCCGAGGTGGTGGACTCAATTTGCAAACAGCATGCAGTTGCAGCTGGCAGGTTAATTTAACAATAAAAGCATGGTTGCCGTACGTATAGAGCACGAATATAATAGCTGATTACTAAATCACCGAACGAAAACGAATAATACTCGAAGAGATGAAAGTTAGAGGCCATCAACCTATCTGATCCTGGTTTTGGTCAGCAACGTATGTTTCTATATTTGAGAACCACTGTCATAGATTTCAACTATCAAGATTCATCATTTGAGGGCTGCTCCAAGATTCATGAGATGACCAGCTTAAAGATTTAAATAGACAAAGACTTTATGTCTATGAATTTGAATAAAATCATCAGGTCAATTATATTAACAGAATGCATAAATAATACGTAGTGAAAACAGGATGCGGGGATCTATTATCCGTGCAAAATAGTTTTCTTTTAAATTGATGGTTTCAAAGCCATCTCTAAAGTTTGAAGAGAAGAAAACACATGCCATTGCTACATGTCTCCTTTTGCAAGGTGCTTCCTGAGCCTTCAAACTGGAGAACAAGGTTCAGGCCCCATAATTTTGCATAACCTTGTGAAATCTATGTTCTTCATCCATAAAACTCACTTTCTGTAGCAATGCTATAACGATAGCCCCTAGGAGCAGTATCTCTACGCCAGGGCATGGATATTGATGCATCAAGCAGATTTGCATCTAATTTACCAACGATCTCTTGGTTGGCCATCAGGAAAAACTGGAGTGAGCACCTTCTCTTTGTTATTTGTTGCGGTATCTGGCTGGCTGGTTGATCTGCTCAAATGAATTTTCACAGTTCCATCACCATCACCATCATCATCAAAATCTGGGGGCGTATCATCTTCATCATTCCAATCATCTTCATAATCATCATCAAGTTCATCACCACTCGCGTAACTATCAACATCAGACCAATCTTCAGCCTCCTCATCACTTCCATCTTCTTGCCCAGAAGTTCCATCTTCTCCACCTGCTGCTTCTGTCTTTGGAGCACCTCTCCTCGGGAATCTAGGAACCATAACAAGAGAACGAAGCTTCTCTTTGATGTTCAACAGCCGGTCCTTCTCCACCAAATGAGAATCAGAATATGCTTCCCTGAGGAAAATCGAATCTCTTTCCCCTTTCAAAGACACGTAAAACAAATCAGGATGTCTTATTAGCATCCCCCTCAGCTGCTGAGAGAATCTAAACTCCTCACGAAAATGAGTAAGGTGATCAACAAGGGTCCTCTTCTCGACAGTGAGACTCAAAATCTCATGAACAACCCCACAAGCATGCTTTTCCTTCTCCTTGGAACCCGATCTCAAATGGGTAAAGTCTGAATAAGGAGATATATAAGGTATGTCTCGAAACTGGCAAATCCTTCTCATTTCACTTTTGGAAAGTTGGAGACCCTTTGGCAGCTTGACTCTGTTAAACTTTAGCGGTCTATCAATAATCAAATCTTTCTCTTGTAGCTCTTTGGCCCGATTCTCCTCTTCAGTTAATTCAGCTGCCGATACTGCAAGCTCAGGATCCCAATGAGTTAATTCTAATGCAGGACCCCTTCCAGTTGCAACAACTCTAAAGTATTGTGGATATCTATGACAAATCGTATCCCGAAATTCAAAAGGCAACCCAAAATCAGTCTTCAAATGGGCTATTTTCTCCAACAAAATCCGCTTATCCATGGACATCATCAACAATTTCCTCAACTTAAGAACCAAAAGATCCTCCATCTCATTCCTAACATTCAACTCCTCTAAATAAAGCCTTTCAGCCTCGGGCGTCAATCTGAACTGCAATGAATAAACCCCCTCTTCCACAATCTCAAATACAGCAGGGAATTTCTTCAACAAAGCAATGAATCGACGGTTTTTCGTAAGACCTAATTCTCTTCTATACTTGCCCAATTCCCTAATTGACATAATTCTATCAGGCTGGTTAGCCAAAATCTTCCTTATCTTCATAACTAATTTCAGCTTCTTGTCCCTGTCAATCACATTATCAAAAGGACGCTCCTTTCTCCACTTTACGCCAGCAGCTCTAATGGGCTCAAATGGGACATGAGTTGTTCTTAATTTACCAGTAAAAGACCCAGTTTTCTCTTCAAAAACCAAACCATTACCTAAAAACTGCGACTTTTCTAGTTGAAATGGTGATGCAGAGAGATGGGTTCTGACAGAAAATTTGGGTCTTTCGAGGAAATAAGAAGATTTTTGTGAGAGAAAAAGAGGTAAAGAAGTAGGTAGGGAAGCACTGGAAGAGGATATCATGAGCTTAAGCTCCATATTTAAGCTTAGTCAAGCTCAGACAAATAAAGCGTAAAAACGAAAGAGGTAAGTGAATAAAAGAAGAGAATTAGAGTTACCTGCGTTCATCAAAGACCAAGATATGGTCAGGCTATGGAGCGTTCGAGCTGCAGATATAAGACAGCCGAGTTTGGACTCCCTCTCCCCGGGGTTTATCTACTAAGGGCAAAAACCCTTTTCCTCTGATTGCTGTCTTGAATCAGATATTTTTTAACCCTTTTCCAGTACTTTTATGTACTTAAGCAAAAGAACAAGGACAAAAATGTCATATTGCTTTCCATTTGGGCCTAGCTACGGCCTTTTCTAGAGCCCAAATTGAAATGAAACGGCAAGTCGTTTGGAAGTTGGGTATTGGCTAGCCAGCTCCAGTGGCCACTAGGCACGAAGCACGTAGCAGGGGGCGTCGTCTCGATCAATGAAATGGCGAGGAAGCGAGGCCGCCGAGTAGCGCCGAGTTCGGATCATCATGAAACTGGAGCCAAGAAGTCCACTCCACCGGACCAATTCAGCGAGTCGGCAGCTTCTGATCGCAAGCTGATAACCATATTTACCGTCTTCTTCGTCGTAATTCCTGCAGTATCTGTACTCGTGTACCGTATCAAATACGCTCCAAATAAGGATTCGTCATATCCACAGTTTCAGGAAGACGGACTCGTTAAAACCGACGTGGATTACCAAGAAATACTCGACGTAAGCACTTTCACTTGCTCGCTCTTAATCACTGCATTGACTTGATAGCAGAAATAGTAAAATAAAGTTTTAAATTCGAAATCGTGTTGAAATGTAGGAGAATTCGAAGGTTTTGAAGAATGAATCTCACCGGCACTACACATATCCTGTGTTGGCCTACATTACTCCATGGTATATGTTTGTGTGTGTGTGTGTGTGTGTGTGTTGAGGAATTAGTTACTACAACGGTGTTCTGATTGCTTTAATAGGAATTCGAAGGGATATGAAATGGCGAAGCGGTTTACTAATAAGTTTACGAGATTATCTCCTGTTTGGTATGATCTGAAGAGGTGTGTATTTTTCGTTTTTCGTTTTTGGTATTTAGATCAAACATAAAAAGGAAGAAAGAGATGGAGGTAGAACTGACTCTCTTTTTTTTGTTACCAGTCAAGGTACTGGACTAGTTCTGGAGGGGAGACATAATGCTGATATGGGATGGATTTCAGAGCTCAGAAGGAATGGGAATGCTCTGGTAATTGCAAAGTGTTTATTTTTCATTTTCCTCTCACTGATTTTGTAATTGAGACGTGTGGATTTGCTATTTGAAGGTGTAAATGAAATGTAATCTGATTGCTGTCTGATAATTGATCCAAGTAACATTGTCCCTAATCGTGTGGAATTGGACATGAGCAATTTCGAAGGGGACTTCCACTTACAATTCTATGGCCAAACCCCGTGCTTTCCTATTCTAGATAGTATTACTTCCAAAGTTACAGCAATTTGTTATCAGTCATTGTAAATTTTTGCTTGCTTGTATTCTATGGTTAAATTTAATGTTAATCTTATGTCAACCAGCATGGATCCTTTGATATTTTGGTACGGTAAACTAGTATTTTGACTGTAGGTGTTACCTAGAGTTGTTCTGGAAGCATTTCCAAAGGAGCTGCTTAAGAAGAAGAAACTCAGAGATAAAGCTATTGACCTGATAATATCAGAGTGCAAGTAAGCCTCCATGTATTTTCATGATGCCGTGTTTAAAATAAGGCCATATTAACAGTAAAGAACTGGTCCTTGTTTTACCATCTTTTTTGTTCATATTCAGATACGTTCCTAGGATTGCTTAGTATTGTGGGAAGAAAACTAGAGTCTATTCTACTTCTTTGTCTCATGGAATGCCTTATAACCAGTGGCAATTGCATTTTATTTTGTTCACGGTTTATAATTTTCATTTCAAAACTACTCAAGTCAATGTAGCCTTTTTATTAAGCACATTCAAAAATGTTGTCAACAACTTAGTTATATGACCTGGGCATTTTTTTCCTGAAAGCCTTATCAGATGCATCCAAGGTCATGCTTAGCTCTCTCTATTAAAGAAAATTAAAAAATGCGGATGCATATTTTAAACTAACCAATGCTACATGTTGTTTAAATCTAAAATATATTTTGAAACTGTCTAAACACTGATCACTTGAATCTATATTTTGGAGAATCGCTTATGTAAATGAAATGAGTTAAGATTCCTTCAGCCATCTCTGGAATGGCCATGAAGATAGTTCATTCATACTCGTGAAAAGCTCTTAAGATCTGATTTCTTATAATTGTGAATACCAAATGTTTCAATAAATTGTGGACATTATTGTCATGTCTGTACATGGATCCTCAGGTGTTCAAAAATTTTGTAGTCTCTGACCAGCTTCAGTAAAAAAGAAAGAAGCATCCATTTGGCTTTGCTTTAGTTCAGGTTGCCTGTTGATTCTCCTTTATTTGTAGGGAAATGGAATATGACGGCATTGTGCTTGAGCCCTGGTCAAGGTGGGCAGCTTATGGTGTCTTGCATGATCCTGAAATGAGGAATAAGGTAACCATTGACTTATACGAGGCTACTTCTGGAGCTTATTTTTTTTTTAGGATCTGATTTTATCAAAACCTACTGAAATATTGTGTGGCTATATATCATACTCTGTTTTTTTTTGTCTTGTTAATAAAACAAACTGATGAATAGAAAACTGTTAAGTGTATAAAATATTGCACTATAAGTTTTCTCACTTTGATATGTGATCAAGAGGTTCTTGTAACCATTGTAACTCCAAAAATATATTATTTTTTCCTGATTTTATACCCTGTAATCCAAGTCTTCACAGTCCATTGGCCATTAGATAATTTTTTCTGATTTATACTGTGGTGTTTCAAACTTGTGAGATTCTGAGGAACGTTTCCTGGTTTGCAACTATAGGCACTGCAGTTTATAAAACAACTTGGGCATGCAATGCATTCAGTAATCTCATCAAGGAATGGGAAGCAATATTTACAATTGGTCTACGTTATCGGTCCACCATATTCAGAGAAGCTTCAACCTCATGACTTTGGTCCAGAGGATCTTCAGAGCTTAAGTGATGATGTAGATGGTTTCTCATTCATGACATATGACTTCTCAAGTCCTCATAACCCTGGTCCAAATGCACCTTTGAAGTGGATCCGTTTCACTCTGCAGATTCTCCTTGGCAACAGTGGTGCTCGGGCCCTGGCCAATAAGATATTTCTGGGCATCAATTTTTATGGGAATGATTTTGTGATTTCTGAAGGTACTTCTCTTTATTTTTCTTTCATTTATATCCCCTTCACTTTTTTTTCCTCTAATTTTTTTGTGATTCATTCTGGATATATTCTAGTTTGACTTCAATAACTTTGGACAAGATGGCAATGAGCATATAAGCATTTGGCTAGCAGCCTTGGGTTTCTTCCCCTTTTGTCTTCCCATTTCAGCGTGTGGCTTTGGACTGTAGTAAGGCCAATCAATTTTCTCCAAGACTGTTGGAGATTCCATCTCCTGGGAGAGTGAAGGATTCATATACATCTTATAAAACAACTCTTGAAGGAATGGGTCTGGACAAACTAACAATAGATTAGAGGATCTGCTGATTTTCTTAAATTTTCTAGTCAGTGCATTAAATGAGAAACTGATCTTCCTACATCGGTGGCAGCTGTTGTGTATGAAGATGTGCAAAACTATTATGCTACGTGAGGAAAATTGAAACTTAACCGGGCTTGATAACACAATAGATGTCCTTCTGCAATTCACAGGTGGCTTGATAAAGAAAATCAAAATTTGGTCAATTTGTTGCTGTTTTTCCCTGCAACACTTTGTTTCTCATAAAGTGATACTGGGACAGTCCATAAGATAATCTTTCTACGGAAATTATGTATTTCATGCAAGAAAGAAGCCTGGTGAAGGTTTTAAAAGAACTGTTACTTCGGCAACAAATTGGTATGGAGGGCATGGTGGCCTATGGTTCATCAAGGAACTCAATGGTCGAAAGTTTATAGAGTTCTAACCGTGACTTGGAATGACAATAACAGAGTTGTAGTTGAAGGGAACAACTGACTCAACACTTGAAGAAGTGAATTTAAATTTCCTTTCTCAAGCTAAACAATTATTATATGGAGCCACCCGTGGTATTTTTTGAAGCCAACCATGAAGACAAACTTGCCAATAGGAAGAATCTTCTTTGAACAAAATTTATACAGCTTCTTGTGAACAGCTTGGCATGCAGACCAATAACAATCCTTCAACTAGTGTAAACAGGAAACGTTGGCTCCATGCATGTATGTTTCCAAACCGTGTAGGGTTCACGATGTGAGTGCTCTATGTTACAGGTAGTGAGTTGAGAGAAAATTAAGTGAGCTTGTGGGTGCTTTTCTGCAATCCGTGGGCAGCATTTTGCTAGGAATTTTTACTTGTTTCTTGGTTGCATGAGGTCCACGTATTGCATTCAAGTATAATGAAAGTGTGTTTTTGTGGCTACACCCTTCTCTTTCTAAATGCTTTGTGTTGGAGATTGTTAAAGTAGTCATAAAACTGCAGGTTCTGAGGGTGGTGGAGCGATCACAGGAAAGGAATACCTCTCTTTACTGGAGAAGCACAAGCCTAAATTGCAATGGGAAAAGAACAGTGGGGAACATTTTTTTCTCTACGTTGACGATGAGCATGTCAATCATGTAGTGTTCTACCCGTCATTGATGTCAATTTCTATTCGGCTAGAAGAAGCTCGGCTGCAGGGAGTCGGTATCTCAATCTGGGAAATTGGGCAAGGTTTGGAGTACTTTTTTAATCTTTTGTAAGAGTCGACTTCTCAATACAGTGTAACATAACATTTTATTTTTAGCGTTCAGCTTGCTTCCAAAATTAGGTTTTTGGGGCAATTCCATCAACCATGATTTTTCAATGATCGTGATGTCGCGGAAATAATTACAGCTAATAATATGGTCGAGTTTCTTTTTTTAAAAAAATATTTTTCAAGCACATGGGCAAGGCTTGTGGAGCCCGGGCACCCTTAGCCCAAACATGATTAAAAACTAAAACAACTAAAACTGAGCACATTGACTGTTTCAATTTTATCAACTCTCACCATAATTTATTAAAGTTTCACTCCTCGTACTTCAATTTTTTATATTTTAGTTTTTAAATATTAAGAGATGAAAGAAAAAATCATTAAAAAAATAAAATTTAATAGGTCATATTCCAACATTTTTATGTCAATAGTTATGACTTTTAATAACATATTAAAACTTAGAGTGTCTTTGAAAGTGTAGTTGTAGTTGTATTTTAAAGTGTTTTTTATTCAAAAAAAATATGCTAATAATATTTTTTATTTTTAAAAAATTATTTTTAAAATTAACACGTCAAAATGATTCAAAAATATATTGATTCAAAGTAAAAAAAAATCAAATTTTTTCAAAAATATTTTTCAAAGCTTTCCAAACATGATACCAAATAATATCTTAGACTAAAACTTGTAATGTTTGCTTTCAGTTTGTTTTTAAGAGGTGTCTTGAGTTATAAATATAATTATTAAAATTTTATGATATTTTTCTAAAATGCTTCTAGGAAAAAAAATTGCTTGAAATTTGAAATTTGAAATCTAAAATTTAAAATTCAAATTACCATGACCATGATTTTCCAATAATCTCAATTAATTGGAATTTGTTGCTATTGGGCAACATGTCATTCAATTGTTTTAGAAAACAAACTCAAATACAAGGCATGTCATTTTCTTGAGTTTAAGAAATTAATTGTCTTTGTCTCGAATTCTAGATCTAAAAGTTTAAGGTATTGTTTGTTTTTATATTTTAAAAGTATTTTTAAATTTTTTCTTCAAATTAATATTTTTTGGTATTTTCAAATTATTTTGATACACCAATGTTAAAAATAATTTTAAAAAAATAAAAAAATATTATTTTAATATATTTTAGAGTGAAAAACACTTCAAAAGACAACTACAACCACACTCTCAAACACGCAAAAATATTATGGTTTTTATTATTTTATTTATCTATTTATTTTATATTTTATAATGAAATTCTATTTAGATTGTTTCAAAAAATTATTAAATAAAAATATATTTTATTTATTTTATATTTTATAATGAAATTCTATTTAGATTGTTTCAAAAAATTATTAAATAAAAATATATTTTATTTATTTTATATTTTATAATGAAATTCTATTTATGGTAATATTAATAATTATACATGAAACTACTATGTAAGATTTTATAGAGAAATTTTTTACACATATTCAATGAAAATAAAATAAAATATTTTATTATTTTATATTGTTTCCTCAAATTAAATAGTATTTTTTTTCATAAAATCATGCAAATCATAAAGAGATGTTTTTATATTTTTCCATTGAAAATTGCTTTTTAAATTATGTTAATTTCTTATTTGAAAATATGTTTCTAATAGAAAAAGACAAGTTTTCATCAAAACAAAAAAGAGACATGAATAGCAACGAGATTTTGATTAGAGAAATGTTTTTCTCTCCTTAGTTTAAATCATTTGATTTTTAAAAAATATTTACTTTAATTATCTTAAATTTCTATTAAAAAAAATCATGTCACTATTAATTTATTTTTCAAAACAAAAAAGAAATGCCTTAATAAAAAAGAGAATTTTTTATTGAAGAATATTTTTTTCCACAATTTAAATCTTTAAAAAATCTCAAATGTTTATTTTAATTATCATATAATTTAATAAAAAAATTAAAAATCCTTGGCCATATCAAAAATGTGATTTTAATAACCTTAATCATGCCTAACTTCAACGACCAGAGAAGCGCTTGAGATTTGATAAACATGTTTGATTTTAATGCTAAAGTCTTTGACAGCTATGTATTTTCTCAACACTTTAGATTTGATAATTATATTCAAGGTTGTTAAAAATATATTTTTAATATAGTATGAAAAATATAAAATAAACTTAAATTGTAAAATTATAAGGAAATTTTTTTTATATATAGTTCAAACATTTTAAAATGTATGATTCAAATAAAAATTTATATATAGTTAAAATATTTTAAAATATATAATTAAAATAAAAATTTATATATAATTCAGTTATTTAATAAAAATAACAAAACTCACTATAATATTTTCGTTTAACAACTAAACAATTAAAATACGTGCATTGCAGTTCTAAAATATACTACAACCTAGATTAAAATCTCTAATAATCTTAAACCTTGCCCTCTTTAATGAAGTGATCGTCACAGCAGCTTCCAAGGATGACTTGCCAACCTCTATCTTAAAAGAATCATACCTTAAAAAGAATTCCACAATAAGCAGCCTAGCCACGAGCACAATAGAATCTTTCCCTGCACACTGTTTATTTCCCAAAATCTGTAATGATAAAAATCGAAAGGGGAGACCAAAAACTTATTTCTCCGATTTAAATGACAGTTCATCAGTGCTGATAAAGAGAGTTAATGGGGTAATTATTTTCTAGTTCATCAGTGCTGATCAAGATAATTAATGGGGTAATTATTTTTTATTCTCTCCAATTTCCACCATTAACAAAATATTCTGAATAATTGAACACATTTCCTTTACTGAATTTGGCATCAATAAAACAAGAGAGAAAGGCAGAGATTCAGATAACATAAAATAAACAGAGAACATAAAATAAAACGAGAGCATGAATTTTTGAATAAAAATTCATTATCAAATCTGTAAATCACTCCAAAATTTCTATTGTATGTTCATTACCCAATCACTTCAAAATCATCATCCTAGTCATTCCATCAAGCAAAATATTATCAAAAAATAATTTTTATTCAAAATCATGGACAACCAGGACTGAAAAATACAAGGAATTAAGAAATATCACATTATAAATAGAACAATTTATAATAAAAACTGATAAGGAATCAAACGAGCAGTTGATGATGGAAAAACCAAAAAAGTGTTATTGATAAAGATTGAAGAGGAAGTTGTTGATGAAGAATAAAGGTTGAAAATGATACTGTTGATGATGGAATAAAAGAGAGAGAGACATAGAATTATTAATGAAGAGTGGAAGACTGAGATCTGAAGTCTGAAGATAAAACCGTTGATGCTGGAGGAAAAAAAGATCATTGTTGTTATTGATGAAGAGAAGGTTCATGACTGTGGATTTCAAAGATTTTATTTTCTCTTTAAAGATTAGGAATTTAGGATAAAATATGGATGAATGACATGCACTGTCGACAATTAACATGTGGTTATTGGTATGAAAGAAACATACATTGCACTGTTGCAATGCAATATATGTTTTTTGCGTGAAATTGTAAAATTGATATTAAAATTGTGATTTTTTATGATTTTATTAATTTTAAAATTTTTAAAATAATTTTACATATGAAATATAAACTGGCCAGTAAAATCATAAAATTTTACGAGTTAAATTATAATTTTAACAATCTTAACTATATTTATTTAAAAAAAAAACATAATAAATTCTCAACACCCTAAAAAACAAATAAATATTTATACTATATTTTAAAAAAACCTAAACAAATTATTTTATTTTTAATTATTTTTTCAATATCAAATATATTTTATAGAAAAAATAACCTCACCTCTAACTCTATGCTTAATAAATTTCTTCGATGGTAACAATTATTTTATTTAACTGCTATAATTCACAGTTATCTATATCGTGGTAAATAGTAAAAGGATAAACTACGAAATACCGATCTCATGTAAAGAAAGTCACAAGCCATGTGATCACCAATTCTCTTCTACGTGTCATGCAATGAGTGCCAAAGATATCCATCCCCATGCCACGCCAGCACGTCTCCCACTCAAAGGTCACCAGCAACTAGCATTGAATGAAGACAAAGTTTTTCATCCTCTGCTTACCTTTCATTCAATCATCCTAAAGGAAACAATATCTGCATAAAGCTCTATTCCCATGGCGATTCAAGCTTCTGCATCATTTCTGTAAGAGACCATAGTTTGTCTGCGACAAAGAATTATGCCATGGAGGCCTTCAATGCAGCAAGCTGGGCACCGTTATCAGTCCTCTGTGAGAGAAGATCAGAATCCAGAAAATCTTTATCCCTCCCTACAGTTTCACCACTCCAAATCTCTCATTCTTTCTCTACAAGCACGAGCCGATCAACTACACAAGAGTGTCTATCAAGGACTTTACATGGTGGTATAGTGCTCCTATCTTCAGTTCTTGGTAACGGGCTAGCTAGAGCTTTAACATATCAAGAAGCACTGGAACAGTCTACGCGCTCCTTCTCATCTGATGCGAACGGGGTCCTAGATAGTTTCATCAAATTTGGAACGGAAAACCCAACAATCGTAGCAGGTAGTGTTACAGTTTTGGCAGTTCCACTAGTTCTGTCTCTGGTGCTAAACAAGTCAAAGTCCTGGGGTGTAGAGTCTGCAAAAAAGGCATATGCAGCGTTGGGTGTTGACGCAAATGCTCAGTTGCTTGATATAAGAGCACCAGTGGAGTTTAGACAAGTGGGCAGTCCTGATATCAGGGGTTTGAGTAAGAAACCAGTGCCAATTGTTTATAAGGGTGAAGACAAGCCAGGTTTCTTGAAGAAGCTGTCTTTGAAGTTTAAGGAACCAGAGAATACCACGTTGTTCATTCTAGACAAGTAAGATAGCGAATCCAATTACTATATTTTGCATGGAGATCTCAACTCTTATCCTCACCAATATCTAGGTTATAAGTTAAGTGGAAAATCTTTGACAGAGAAAATCCAGATGGGGTAATCATAGTGGTCATGAAATTTGTGCATGGAGTGATCTTAGAATCTATACTTCATAGCACATTAACTAGATCTCGTAAGTTCTTAAAGTTCCACTCGCAATTTCACAGACGAGCAATATGCTATAATAACAGGTATAGCATTGATTATGATCGGCAAAAATGTTCAAAAATCTCGTATGGAGTTGTGTCTGTGGTATTGGGTGCTGGAAGAATCCCCAAAAGGGTCAGAATAGCTAGCAAATGGTGCTGCCTGCATAATACTGCAAACTGAACTGCCCAACCTTGACTACTCAAATGTAGAAATCATTCATAATATAAAAATATTACATATCACATTCCTTATCAAGGAGTCAGAGCTCATTAAATCACATAGTCGTGCTGTTTAACCAATCTACATAATAATAAAATCAATGTAAGAAAAATAAGGAATACCATACCAGTAGAAGGAACCAACTTTTACAAATTCTTAACCCCCCAATTCCCCTTTCTCCTTTGCTATTCCATTGCTGAAGAGGTAATAATTAGAGTTCTGATTCGTTCTTTGCTATCCAAAGCTATTGTTTGAAGCTAATGCTACTAAATTCATGGCGAAAGCCAGATTCGATGGCAACTCCGAATTGGTTGCAGAGTTGGTCACTGTAAATGGATTTAAAGCAGCTTATGCAATCAAGGATGGTGCAGAAGGGCCCCGGGGATGGATGGTATTTTCTGTTTTTTTTATCACTTTTAATTCGTGTTCAAACTATTTAGCATCCAAGTCCCTTTCTTATCTTATGGAATGTAAATACAAGCTTTGAGAATTGTATTTTGCAGAATAGTGGGCTTCCCTGGATACCACCAAAGAAAGCTTTTAGTCTTGACCTTGGTGATTTATCAGACGCGATCGGTGGTGCACTAGGAGTATGTGCCCTTCCTCTTCTGCTGCCTTTTTTCTCTTGTAGTTTAATATTCTACTAAAAAACCTAACTTCAATACACAATCTAAGGACCTTTATGAGTGGAATGCTGATCCTTTGTATGGTCTCATATAACTTTAAACAAATGATATCTGTTATAGTATTCGTGATGAACAAAATGGGATGTGAGTTGGTCAAAAAAGCTAGGGAACATTTTATCTGCTTGGTTAAGATCTTACATTGTGTCTATTGTGCTGAAATGAGTGTTAATATAAAAGAGCTGTAAGTGAGAGGAGCTAAATAAGAAGCAAATTCAGCTCGGCGCAAGAAACAAGAAGTTGCTAGACATGTTTTGAAGATTAATGACTGAACTAAAAAGTTGTAACACACTTGAGGCTTGAGGAATGACAAAGATAAGGAAGGGCGACCCTGCAGGATGCGATCATTGTCCCCGGAAATAACACAAGTACATATTGGAACGTGGTAATAAGTACGGCCATTATCAACACACCTTGTTGTTAACATCTGGATTATCTTGATCTGGCACTACATCCACAGAAGACTACATGCATCGTGTCCTTGGCAGGTCCCTAACCTTCTACTTCAGCCTAACCATTAGAATGGAATAAGAGAGCCATTGATAAATCATCATGCTTAATTTAGCTTCCTGCAACTCAGAGTGTAAGAAACATTTTATTTTGTGAGTTGTCAAGCATGTCCATCAACATCCTTAATATATCCCAACCACTAACTGTTTTTTCCCTTGCAATTTTTTTCATCTCTCATTGATGTAAGAGTAGGGGCAGGGCACCCTTGGCCCACTCATAGCTTTCTTTCCTATTCTTGGTTTGAATCTTAGAATATTGGTACTCAATGATCAATATTCATAAGTTCTTATATATAAACTGGTTATGGCATTTCTTTTATGATTTTATAAATAAACACTCAAGCGCAGTAATCACAAAGATAATTTTGCAGGAGGGCTCCGATGCCTTGCCTGTCACCTTTGCAATTGCAGCAGCTACTGGCTTAGGTGTATTGGCATTCTCAGAGGTTAGGTCATGAAGCTTTTCTCGTATTATTTTTCTTTATTTTTATTTTTTAATAATGGCTTTCTTTTTATTTTCACTAAAAGGGAGATGTGCATAATTGACTGTTTGTATTTTCCAGATTGAAGCAATACTCCAAGTATTAGGCTCAGCTGCACTAATTCAGTTTGTGAGTAAGAAACTCCTGTTCGCTGAGGTATTTCTTTGCTGAAATAATATTATTTTTTCTTGAATTTCATGACTGAGATGATATGATTTCATTCTATTGCATGTGCTCTAGGTTAAATAAGTTCTAACGGGCCTTTCTGCCACCAATAAAGAGGAGAAAAGGGGAAAAAACATTTTTCTTCAGAGTTTAAAACACAACATAGGTGCAGAAGCAAGTTCTGTGTCCTAAAGAATTAAAGATATACTACCACATAGTTATAATGTATACTCCTAGAAATTTGAAAATATATTATGATTCTGATGAACACTCAGCCAGGGCCTGCCCTTGTATGTGTGTCATGGGATCGTGATGATGCCCTTGTGTGAGTGACTCAGCATCCAGATGGGAAAGTTCCATAACTTTGGGCCATAAATCTCGGGTCCTTCATTTGCAAGCATTTATATTCACTTTAACATTTTATTCTTTGCTTCCCATGGCAGGACCGTAAGCAAACTCTGGAACAAGTTGATGAATTCTTGACCACCAAGATTGCACCTAAAGAGTTGGGGGATGAATTGAAGGTAATATTTCAAACCCTATAGATGCTTGTATTCTAGTGCAGTAAAGCCAAGATCAGTAACTTGTTTTCCAAAAAAATATGCGGTGTTGAGCACAATCTATTTTTCTGGATTACCTGGTCAATTCAGGACATAGGGAAGGCTCTTCTACCAGTAGCAGTGACGAGCAAGGCTCTTCCTGCGCCTGCAGAAGTGAGTCCAGAACCTGCTCCTGCTGATAGTAGTATAAATTCAGCACCCAAAACAGAAGCTAAAGCTGAACCAGTTTCTGAATTTTCAAGGCCACTTTCTCCATATCCAACTGTAATTCCCACTCTCATTACTCTTGTTTATTTCCAGAGTGGTTATTTTCCTTCAAGTTGATAGCACACTAGTTAGTTACACATGCTATAAAGTTTCCTACTAGTCTCAGTGTCGGACACACGACTACCATTCTTGTATTGCAGTATCCGGATCTCAAGCCTCCAACGTCGCCCACCCCATCTCAACCTTAAATTGAAGTCTTTATGTCTTGTTCTGCAACCGGAAGCTGTTTTAACTGGAAAATCTTGAATTACTTTGCGAGCTGTTCAATCCATGTTCCTCGTAAAATGTTCGAGTCAACTTGATGGTTTGGATTGCAGAACAAAAAAAAGGGAAAGGAAAGGAAGTTGTCATGAAATCGATGGATGCTACGTGATATGCAACAGCGAACCTGATCGTATCTCTCTTCAATTACTTGTGGCTTGTGGATCTTTTGTAGATGTAGCTTACGAGCTAACACTATCTTGATGCGGTAATGCCATTTTTTTTTTTTGGGGTTTCTGGAGTCACTGGAAGAACTTAGGTGTGTACAAACTCATACTTTGAAGTTAGCCAAAATAATTACTGAAGTTTGTCTTTGCTGTCCGTTAACACCCGCCAAATTCTCATGTATACCATCCTTGGGCCCTGCGAACGATAACTTCAGCTCAACCAATTTCAAATTAGAAAACTTTGTACCATCACTTTTTGCTTTTGGAATCTAAAAGAAGAAATCAGAAGTCACTATTAAAAAAGAAAAAGAAAAAATAATTGAAGTGTGGTGGAGATGACGATTACTGAACTAGTGAAATTACTCGATGTAATCTTAGGTTCTTTTATAGGGGAATTAATATTAATCTTATCCAAATTTGTTTCTGCTTTTGAATAAATTCAATCATTATTACATTTACGGGATTCACTAGCGTCGCTTGACGTAAGATTAGTATTAATCAATTTAGCTTGCTTTTGTTTTGGCTTCTGTGCTTGGGCTGCAACGGTACAATTTTAGTGACTGTTAACAGCGCAGCGATTTTCTTTTCTTTTTCTTTTTTTTTAATAAAAAATCACAAGGGTATGTTCCCGGAAACGAAGTCGTTTCAGGCTCATAAACCCATACAACCCAAACCGAACACGCCCCTACGCACACTCCCTTACCTGGCCAGCCAGACAGACACACAGGAGACCGGCTGCGTTTCAAAAATTCCAAGAGAGCGGCAAAAAACTAGAAAGAATAACAATCCTTACTTTTTGGCTAAATTTTTATTTATTTATTCATTTTTAAATATAGACACGCTTCATCGATGGCCAGAACGAAACATCCAGTTGCTCGAAAACGAGCCAGAAGCCCGAAGAGATCCGGTTAGATCTCTCTATTTATATTATTAAAAAATGAAGAAATGCAGAAGTTTATGTGGTTTTACTGTATAAAACATGTATTTGTTGTTGTTGTTGTTGTATTTATATGCATTCGTTTTCCCCCCTTTTCTTTCATGAACCCTAACTTATTTATGCTTTCCTTTGTGAAATTACAGATGCCTCACCATCTACACCTAGAACGCCAACATCGACGGTACCTCTCTCTCTCTTCCTCTCCAGGTTTTGTTGTTATTTTTTTTATTTTTTTTTGTTGCCTGTTTGGTTGCTAAGAAAATGCGGGAAACGATAGTGTACTACTTTTCTTGTTTTGTTTTTGAGCTTTTTTATACATTTTGTATGATTTTGAAAGAAAAATTAGAAAAATAAGTTAGCATAAGCTGGAGGTAATTAGTTGTGGAACCCCCAGGAAGGAGAAATTTTAGATTATAAAAAAGATTGTGATTATATATACATATATTGTTTTGTAATAGTTACATTTGTTATTTTCTGCTTCTATTTTAATTTCCTCGGTAAAGGAAAAAAGGGGTAAGAAATGAAGAAAATAATCTTAAAATTCGAAATTACTTTTTTTATTTTTAACTATAAGTTTTGTTGAGAAAGGAATGAGAAAACGGAGAATAGTATACATATTTTGTTTATCTCTTGCCTTAAATCTCAAATGTTACTGTTTTTACTTTGTTGTTTAATAGTCTCGTATTCTATTTTTTTGGTTGCAGAGAACAAGACCGCAAGCAAATGGCCAGCAAGGTGAGTTTCTTCCTCCACTTTTTTGGGTGGGGGGTGAAATTTGTTTCATTTTTTAGGTTGAGGCGTTCAACTTGATTGTATTGGCATGTGTTTTTTTTCTGGGATGCTTTCTCTTTATTTGTTAATACTTGTAAAAGGTTCATCCACACAAAGGCAGAGGAAAAAGCATCGCTTCCGTCCAGGAACAATAGCTCTTCGTGAAATTCGGCAATATCAGAAAACTTGGAGGCCACTCATACCAGCTGCTAGCTTTATTCGATGTGTGAGCACTCTCTGTAGTGACGTTTTTTATAGTTTATTTTGTTAAATCAACCATTGGATGTCAGGTTTAATTGTTCCATTACCTGCTTGTCAAATCCAACTTAATTTGGGTATCTTTGTGTTTGTCATCTTGATAACTCTTCGGAGCCAGCTCTTAATTGGTAATCCTAGAATAAATGGAATGTTTTTAAATATTTGATTGATTTGCTAGTTTTAAGTGCATGATCTCCATGAAGAGTATTATATCCAAAGCCTGGCTTGGTAAAGCTCAGATTGTCTAAAAATGTGTTAAACAATCGAACATTTCATGCAAGTGAGTTTCTTTGCATACGCGCGCGCGCGCTTGTAAAATGTCTGTGTACATACATATTTTAAAACATGCATACGAGTTTATATGATCAATGGCTAGATATGATGCTGGTTCCCAGAGCTACATGCATCACAATTATTTTTGTGATATTCCAGTCAGGATTGAATTACATGGGTGAATAGCATGCACTGGAATTATGTGATTTAATATTACAAATCTCACAATTTTTTACTCTCTTCGTTTGCATTGCTCTGATGAAGTTTCTGTATGGTTTGCAGTGCATATTAATGTTTCTTGCTGTTATGGAATATTTTATGGCATTTGATTCATCTTATTCATCATATTATTGTTTCTATTTGTGACCATCCCACAACCCATTGGTTTTTCTCCTCCTTGTGCTGTGTCCCCAAATTTCTTCATGTTTCCCAAGATGATTGTTCCTGATTGAAAACTTTCTGTACAATTAAATGCAAGAGTACCATTAGCTACCAGCTCATTGGCACAATTGGATGCTTTATTTGTAAGGAGTTTTTAGTTTTTTTTTTTTTCAATTAGAAAAGAAGTTGGATCTCTCTGAATGCTCGTACAAACAAAATTTGATGGTTACTCTGGAAAAAAAAAAGATCATATTTTTGGTAAAGAAGACCAATATTTAGAACCTTTAAAACCACCCCACTCTCTTGTGGTTTTGTAACCCTGCAATGTATTTGTTAAATTCACCTGTTACTTGTTCCACTTTCATGGTCTAGTAACTTTGCTGTTGTTTCTCTCTTTCTGTATGTATTTGTTGAAGTCACCCGTTGCTTATTTATTCATGACATTGTGAGATTCCACAACTGTTAACAATGCACACTGGTACATTATGCTTTCACCTTTTGTGCATATGATTGTCTCATTGAAATTTAATTGGATGTGATAGTGGTTGTTATCATTTTGCAGGTAAGAATGATTACCCAGGAGTTTTCCCGAGAAGTGAACCGTTGGACTGCTGAAGCTTTAGTTGCAATTCAGGAGGTATTTTGTGACATTTCTCTGACATGTATGCCAGTAGTATGCTTCATAACTTTCATGCTTCAGCAAAAACCTATACCTGTCTTCAGAAGTTTCACTGTACTTGCATTTTCAGTTTAAGAGTATGCTATCTCCTCTCAGTGTTGGCATCACCTGTAGTATTGTTTAGTACAGTCATGTAGTTTTTGGTAAGAAACAGGACCAAAGGGCCTACACGCTCAAACTAAGAGAACAATCACAAGGAACAACCATCCCCATCATTTCATTGAAAAGAAAATGTCCCAAACCCCAACCAGACCCTGCAAAGCCACTTCTGTGGACGTCGTTGCTATTATGGGCCAGAGCCCCCAAACCAGCTTTGACAGCAGAGCACCTTCCAATAGTTCAGTCATGTAGTTGTTACAACCACTGATAGTTTATTAGAAAATGGAACTTCTAGGTAGTAATTACTCTGCTCTGGTTCTACTTTTCATGCAGTTGTGCTAATAGATCTTGATGCATGCCAGTTATTGTTTTGTTATTTGTGTAGGCAGCAGAGGATTTTTTGGTTCATTTGTTTGAAGATGGAATGCTCTGTGCAATTCATGCAAAAAGGGTTACATTAAGTGAGTGAGATTTGACGCAACTATTATAACTGCATCCTTTTTCCTTTTATTTTTTCTCTAATTTCATGAGTTAATTGTTCATTATAGTAGAATTTTGATCAACTCTAGTTCAGTGGTCTCTGCCACATCGAGTTAGATTTCACTACATCTATTATGATCATGAGCGTTTGTCTTTTCTTCAAATTCTATGGGAAAACTTTGCTCTTTTATGTATTTTATTTAGATAGAATTTTGATCAGGTTTACTTCAGTGGTCTTTTAGACATCACTAAATGCTGTTTAATGATCTTCAGTGTAGATGCACACCAAATTTTGTTTGCATGCTTGAAATTATCTATGTATGCTGATTTGTGAGTTTTAGGAAGTCAATCAAGATTTGTCCAGTTCAGATCCATTCAATCTTGCTTCAGAATTTTTATATTTGCTATTCAGTAAAGAAACTCGTTTTATTTTGCTTTCTTCCCTCAGTGAAAAAGGATTTTGAGTTGGCCCGTCGGCTTGGAGGGAAGGGACGACCTTGGTGAGAGTGTTACAGTACAAGAGCATCACTGATTGTCACCACCTTGATGTGTAATTACGCTGCTATTCTTTGACAGCCTCTGCTTTCTTGTCGTGTAGTAGGTGTTATGATGTATTATTAGGACATAGGAATCAGTCCACCCTCTGTGGCACCTTACATAAATTTAACTACCACAGTAAATGTGGTGCATGATATTTTAGACTATAGAGAAGGCAGATCCCATTGTCAATGGTTCCTTAGAATCCACAAATCATATGAGGATTATAAATAGCCATTTATCCTGTTGTTTCTGTTGCTTGTTTGATGTGAAAATTGGAACCTCAAGCTGCTTAGATCTTGTGGGTGGGCTTGTGTAACTAGCTAGAAATTTCTTGAGGTAGCTCCTGATCCCTGCCACTCCAGCAAGAGGAGAACTGCCTACGTAAAATGAAGTGCCGGGAATCACAAATTGGCTGGCACCCATTTCATCTCAGCCCTGTGGTTAAGATTAGAACCTTGCTTTAAAAGTGGGTTTTGTTCGGTTCATTTAAGATTAGAGCGTTGTGGTTTGGTTGTTTGTTCCGGAGTTTTATGGTTGCTTGAGAGCCCTTTTAACCTTTCTTTCATGTGTGTTTCAAATAATTATCATTGCAATTTCTTGTGCTAATAGTTTTCAATTATGTGTGATTCATCTAAAAAAAGTGAGGACTCGAGTTTTTTTGCCTATGGAAGATCTTTTTTGCCTCAATGATGGCTAGCATGTCCTCTCCTTCCACGTCGTCTTTTCCCATGCTGGTACTGCGGCGAATTTGCGGTTCGGTAAATACACTGATTTAAACCAAAATTTCATGGTCTGTTCAGATGAATAAAACGGGGTTTTTATGGTGTTTTATTATTTATATTAATAATAAAGCATCTAGATATATTTTTTTAGTTGTTTTATAATAACTTTGTGTCATGGCTCATTGATGGAGACACATGTTGTAGTGGTACAGTCACAAGTTAAAGCATCCTGAATGAATGTAGACGGGGAAAATTTAAGATTAATAAAAAAAAAATTCATGTTTTTAGTTAATATATTTTTTTAAAAAAAAATTAAAAATAATTATTTTAAGAAAATAACTATAAAAAAAATTGATGGGATGAGGCAAACTCTAGGATGATACAACACAATTTACTAAGTTTTACCATGTTAAATTTATATTTTTTGAGTTTGAGCCATAAGTGCATTTAATTTCTTATTGGTGATAAACAACCTATTTTAATATTATTTTATCATATTTATATTCTTTCAGTTTTTAATCATAAAATATAAATATATATATTTTGATATTTTTTATTAATTTACTTTAACAATGTAAAATGTTTTTTTAACTGAATACGTTAATAAAAAAAATTATTTTCATGAAAAAGAATCTCAAAACCACCGTATTTTTTAAAACTAATAAGAATACCGAATTTGTTTAAACCAATTGTGGGTGGATTTGGAATGAAAATTGTGGTAGGAGAATAGGATTGAATGACGTCGGATTGTTGCTTACAAGTCGCTATGATTGAACCTGGAGATTTATTTCCCGATACCATTCCGTTGTATCTAGAATTTGTGGATCGAAATCTTGATGAGCATAGGATGCTTTTTTTCACCATCTAAATGATTACTTTTCTCTTATTTTTTTTTTTATTATAGAACATGTTGATTGCACAGTGTTTTTCACATATATAAATTCTTTCTATAGTTGATTTTTCTTTTTTTAATTTGATAGTTTTGATGAAATAAAATAATATTTACCCTCATCACCGGATACATCCATATTATTTAAGATCTAATATAGTCAAAAATCCAAATAAACAGATTAAATCTACTAGTTATATTTTTTTTCTTGTTTGGTAAAAAAAAGAAGAAAAAAGAAGATAGAATTAAAGAGGTTGTTTTATATGGTTGAATTTAGGTTTAGACCAAGTTAATTTAACTATGATAAAATGAACAGAAAATAATCCTTAGATCTAACTAGTTCAGGTGGGATTGTATTATTTTAATCTTAATATCAAAACAGGCTAAAACAAAAACAGAGTAAAAGGAGACCTCTTTGAGAAAGAGTCGGTCCACAAATAATATAATCGTAAAGCCAAGAAAAAAGCTACATTAGGTCCCAAGCATTTCAAAAGTAACATAAACAACTCAAGTAACACAGCATTTGCAGCAGTAGCAGAAATTATGGAAAGCTATTGTCATGATTAATTACCATTCAGTGGCAACAAATGAGGCGTGGGATTCAGAAGGGCACAAATATTAGCAAACCAGTAGTGGTATCTATCAGCTGCTTTGAAAATAGCCAATACATACCTGACACCTTTTACTTGATATTCCACCTTATCAAGGAATAATAGAGAGGATTAAGTAACATTGGTTAAAAATAGTTTTTTTTAAAAAAAATTATGTTTGTTTATTATTATATTATTTTTTAATTATATTAAATTTAGTTTTTAAATTTTTTATTGTTACATATTTTTTTTATTCATAAAAATTTAATTTTTATATTAATTTGAGTCTCTATTTTTATATGAATTTTATTTTTTTCTCTTATTATTTTTTAATTAAAATTTTTTATTCCACAGATTTATCCTCATTCTTTTGATTATTATTTATTTTATTTTAAATAATTTATCAAACTATAATTGTTATTATTTTAGTTTAGTCATCTTTTAAATTTTTTGTCAGTTAAATTTAATCTTCATTAATTTGATTATTATTTTTTTATTTGAGATAATTTATAAAATTATATTTTTTTTTAATTTTATTTTCATTTAATTTTTTAGTTTGTAAGATTAGTTTCTTATTATTTTAATAAACTTTAAAAAAATCAATAAGTTATTTTCCAACTTATTTTCTATATTATAATCTAACATTAAAAATATTTTTTAATTCATTTTTTATAATATTATCGGATATTAAAAAATAAATTATTTTTTAAAAATTTATTTTTTATAAAAATCATTTCTCAGCCAACAAAGTCACCAGGGCACGCAAGAAAACAAGATTATAAGATATGATTGGAGATTTTAATTGGAGGGAGTTCTGACACCTTGGGACTTGAATAGGTGGGGGAGGAGGAAGAGTCCAAGGAGAAGTAGAAAGCGATCTGTAGAGGCTGAAAAAAGCGTAGGGGAGAAGGGGCCACTCGTTCAGCCTGGTGGTGTAAATGAGTGTGGATGGTGGGGAAGACATGGATGAGGGGCGGCTGCTTTGAAGAGATAGGGTTCTAAAGTTTGGATGGCAACTGGCAACGTTTTGTTTTGAAAAAATGAGGCAGCATGTCTTTCTCTTGAAAACGTAAAACCGGAAGTAAAAACATGAATTTCACTTGATTTTACTGATTTTATGTATGAATTTATCAGTTTCAAGTTTTTAAATAATTTTGCATCATAACTATAATTTAATTAGTAAAATTATATGATTTTCCAAGCTACTCATAATTTTAACAATACTGTACTACAACGTCCGTTTAAATCGGGCTGCATGATATCATGTAAAAGTTAACGTGGATCAATTTGTCCGGGAAGCCAAAATCTTGTGATTGTCTTCGGCAACTTCATCTTTGTTTTGCTAATTTCGAATGATTAACATGTTAATCAAATAGCTTTCCTCCCTCTTCCTTGACGTGAGTTTACTTCCGGTACCTCATGCATTACGCATATCGAAGCTATAACAATTTTAAAGGTAAGTTAACTTATCATGTAATTTAATTTATTATATTTTAAAATTTTTTTTGAAAAATTATTTATTTGAGAATTATAAACTACATGATTATTAAAGATTTATCTAATTAGTAATTTTAAAATTTCAGAAAATCAATTAAAATATGTATAAACTAGTTTTGACAATCTAGTCTGTACAAAGTTCGGTGAAAGACAATACTAAAAATATAATTTAACTTATCATGTTTTGAATTTAATTTTTAAAAATTATTAATTTAAATATTATAAATTAAAATTATTAAAGATTTATCTAGTTGATAACTTTAGGATTTTAAAGAATCGGTTAAGATTCACGTAAACTTACTTAGCTAAAAAACAGAGAAAAAGTTAGGTGAAAGGCTCTCTTGAAGAGAAGGTCATCAACTAACAGAATGAGTCGAATACAAAGGCAATGAGATGTAAAGCACTGAATAAAAGAAAATGCCAACTGGACGTTGCATTTTACCTTCGAATCAATGTTCTTGATGCATCTCCAGAGAGAGTCCACTATAAACTTCTCAAAAGCCAGATTTATATAACGGGTGGCTGTCCTCTCTGTTCCAACAAGACAGGTAATTCGGATAGAACGTGCAAGAATATATTGGTGTTTGGAGTAATGAAAAGCGTGTGTTTTTGGTGAAGACTGTGGTGGATAAAGATCAAATGGCTCTTCATAAAGCATACTTTCTGGAGCCTTTTGGCCACTCTTACCCTACCACACACTACCCCTTTAACCGGACAGCCTCATGTGAAAACTCAGTGCCTACGTTTGTTTCTTTCTTCCAAAAGCAAATGTGATGCCAGAGACTGAGATCTCACGCTTGGCTAGCATGGAATTGTGGTGTCCTTTCCGATGAATTAATTATCTTTCTTGATGCGGTTCAATTGTCAGAACCACGTTGATTACCAGCAGCAAATGTGGTTTCGTTGAACGATTAATAAATTTATGGCTGGATGGTGGTTGTAGCTATGCTCTGATCATCAATGACTTCCCAAATGTGTACACGCTTCATTATAACAAAAAATGCAGGAAGAAACTTTTCTGCAACAAATGCTACGACGAGGCTATAAAACCTAACTCCAAATTTTGCAAGGAGCTATATACAGCAGCTGCATTAACCCCAGTAGTCGGCGGGAACTCCAAATTTTGCAAGGAGCTATATACAGTAGCTGCATTAACCCCAATAGTCGGCGGGATAGGACAACAGTTTCTCATTCCGCAGCCACTATCGAGTATCGACTGTAGAGCTCAAAAGGCAGTACTGTGCCATCTAACGCTACTTGACATAATTACAAAACTTTTATCGGTAGAAGATTCTCGGGGTCATGAATGTATTGCATTCATCTCATTAATTTAAAATAAAATTATTTTATGATTTTAAAAAATAACTAAAATAAAAGTTAAATTAAATTTTATTTGAGTTTTGACAAAATTAATTAAATTTAAATAAAACCAAACTCAAGATAGAATTTAAATCAATAAATAACCAGGTTGATCTGTGCAGCTAAACTGTATTTAATAATATTATTTCTGAAAAACTATGCCATCTACATCACCCAACTATTTAAATACCAATAGAGAATTACCTTGACATCCTTAGATATATAGTTTTTTC